CGGATTGCTGCGTGGCACACCGCCTATAGTTACGCCTGGAGATCCTAACTAGATCCACTGTATACATACAAAGCACCCCGATGCATGGCTTGGTGGCTGCCTGACACCCGTTGCAAGCGATCGAGGACGGTTAAATCGGGAAACATCTGGATCGTCGACCATTGCTAGTAGCTTGTTTGTAAAAAAAAAAAAACGATGTACAGTCAAGCTTCAGAGGTAATCATAAATTTAGGTATGAGCTGAGGCCGAGAGGTTCAGAAAACTCTTGCGCATTCTCCCTTGCACATCTACTCAAGGTTTGGCGATGTTACATCGATTATGCTTATTTGTTGAAGAAAAGGCACTTGGTGACGAAAGCCTTCACGAGCACTGAACAGTCAGGCACACTAATCTCTATGATAGTCAGGAAACATCAGGGTATTTGGAAACATGGGATGCTTTCATGGTGGAGAGGAAGAATGGTGACGTTTTGCAATTCATGGATGTAAGCGCGAGAGGACGAAACGGTGACGACAGCGGTGTAAAAAGAAGCAGCACAATAATATTTGTCTTAACCACGGGGGAGCACTGCCGTTTCAACCCTATTGGCCGTAGTGTCTAACGGTGGCGGCCATATTGCGCAGACCAGGAACCGACCGCCGCCTGTGTTGAGGAATAGGGAATTCGGGACCTCGATTTACGTTTGGGGCCGCCGCATCCGTTTCGTTCAAGTTACGTATATACGGAACCTGGCATCTTACGTAGAATTGAGTGGGGAACACGATCGAATCTTCAGAATTCCTCAAATTCACCCGCCGGACCATCGTTTTTCTACATTCGCCCCGGCCGAGAGGGTTGATTGAACCCACCTCGCTAATGCGCCGCTAATTTAACTAGAATTTAGCGGTAAAGTGGTCGTATGAGGCAGAGTACGTTGCAGAGTGACTGGTAGGAATCCGCTTTAAAGGTCTCAGGTCAACCGTTGACATCTGAGGTCAGGTCAAGTGACCTAAGGCACGGGCTCGGTTTTTGGTAAATAACTTCGCCAAAAATGGCCGTAGAGCCGCGATTTTGGCATCATCGTGCTCACTTAGCTCAGGCGCATCGAGTGATATACTTTTTGTTCGGGTGAGGTCAATTTACGGCACTGACCTCGTGACAAGGTCAGGTCAGAGCTCTCAGGTCACGAAGCTGGTCGAGTAAGGTCATGTTGCATATCATTCGATTCGGCAGGTCTTTCTGAGTCCATTTGTTGCTTTCCCGATTCGCTAGTTCAATTTGATCTGGAGTTATTGAAGAAAAGTTTATGACCCTTGTGACGTCACAGATGACGTCACGCAAGGGCAACAATGCAAATGTGAAGAAGCATTGGACCTTGCAAAGAGTGCATGAAATCACGATTCTATATGCTTGAGATAGTTTCAGATCATTCCCGGGGCCAAAATAGCAATTTCCATATTTCCCCATTGACTTATAAGGGTTTAACGTATAAGTTCCCTGTATTTGAGGATTTTTAAGATGTCATCTTGTTCTCCACTCAATTCTGCGTAGGATGCCTGGTTCCGTGTTCACATAGCTTGAGCGTAACGGAAACAGCGGCCGCAAACGTAAATCGAGGTCCCGAATTCCCTATTCCCCAACACAGGCGGCGGCCGCTTCCTGGTCTGCGCAACATGGCGGCACCGTTGGACACCATCTGGCGGCCGATGCGCCTTCCACATTATAGAGTTCAGTGGTCTTAACTCTCGCCCCGTTGAGGGGAAAGTGGGGGGGGGGGGGGTAATATGGCCTTAACCCGCGCCGGGCCGGTGCTCTGAGATTCCGCGCCGGGCCGCGGGGGGGTGTTTGAACACCCCCCTTCTAACTCGGCTCCTGGGCCACGTAGCGACACGCAGTAAGCGGCAATCGAAAGAACGTCAAAAATAAGGACGAAAACACTACGGTCATTTTTGGGTCAGGTCAAAGGTCAGGTCACCAGAGGTCACCAAAGGTAAAATGTTGACTATTTCAACATTTTGGAAACTGCCAACGGCTATCTCGGGAACCGATAGAGCTACAGCGCCGCAAAAAAGCGCATTCGATAGCCCTTTTACAGACCTTTCTGAGTAATGTTCTCAGATTTGACCTCAGGTCAACGGTTTAGCCTCCAGAGGGCAAAAACTCCAAAAATAGCCGTTTTTACGAAAAACGTTTTTTCGGCAATAACTTTTGACTCAAAAGAGCTATGACATTACTTTTGCCAGCATCGTGTTCCTCTCCTCGAGACGCGTCGAATGAACTATAATTTGACCTTGAAAGGTCAACTTGAAAATTTGACCTCAGGTCAAGGTCATGACCTGACCGGAAAAGGTCATGTTGCATATCAGTCGAACCGCAACGTCGAGCCGAACACATCTAAGGCGTTTTCAGCGCTCTAGCACGCCTCTATCAGAAGTTATCATCGAAAAACTGTTAGATTCTGTTCGTGACCTGAGATGACCTCGGGGACATAACGAGGGGTCACAGTTGCCATTTTCTGGTTCAGTGTGTCTATTTTACCTATATCTCGATGTTTGAGAGTGTCTAGAATAGCGTTCGTGCAAAACAGACGCTTTTCAATTTTCTCCCATTGACTTATAACGGAGAGGCCGCAAAATTGACCTGACCTTAGGTCACCGATATCAAAATTCCGAGATATACATTTTATAGATAGTGTTGCTCTTATCAATCGCTGAAAGTTTCAAGGCAATCGTTCAGTCGGTGTAGCTATGACGAGCATTCTTATTTTTTATGAGGTGAGGTCACTTGGCGTGACCTGGTGACCTGACCTAAGGTCACCTGGGTCTGAAATTTTCACAACATATGCGGAAAAGATGCACAAACAGGTGTGCCAAAAACGGCGGCGCTCCGCGCCGCCGTTTTTGAGATATCTGCGAAAAACCGCAAGGGGGGTGTTCAAACACCCCCCCCCCCGGCCCGGCGCGGGTTAAAATTAGGTATCATCGGCTTCCTCTCGTGACAGGCAACACACTCGTTTTTTTTCGCAAAGCTCTAGCTCGATGAGGGGCCAAACGCGAGGGGAGGTGGTCGTACCAACCCCCCCCCCCCCCTTGTGCCGTTGAAGGACGCAAAATGGCCTGTGCCGGCGAAGGCTAACAAACCAAACACCCAAACAGTCGATGATTCGGATTTCGGGGGTAGCGGAGTCCATCGCGAGACTTAATTAACTCATGGGTAGGAAAACCCTATCGTGTGTTAATATACGCCACTACCTGCACAGAGTGCGTTCGGTCGTTAGATATACAGGGTGTCCCAAAATTAATGTCACACGCTCTCACAACACTTATTTTGCCTTCTACGCCGCAATACCAATATAATTTCGCCGGTACTGGCTCCCAGACCATATTGGCTACATTCTAGTCACGTGACCTTCGAATTTGTGTGACCCTGACCGGTCAAGGGGTGTACGCAGGTCATTTCCGGGGCAGTACCCAGCGCGCCGGACCAGGTGTCCAGGATGGCAAAACTGCAGAGCAAATCGTCCCGCAGCGAGGCTTTAGGCATTGTTGCCGGCGGCATGACCCACGGCCAGGTCGCCGAGAAACTGGGCATGAGTTGCCGCACGATTTGGCGCTGGTTGTCACGCGACAGAAGCGGATAGATGCCTGAGAACAAGCTAGGTCGCGGCAGAAAGACTTCCCGCCAGCCGGGTAGCGCAGGTCGTCATCGCGAAGTGCTGAGCTAAAGACGGGCTTATCCACAAGGAAACTGGCAGGGGGCTGATTGCCAACAGTCATTCAGTCTCCAAGTCGACAATCCATCGGTACCGGAGGTTGTCTCTAAAGCTGAAGCCCGTCAAGCCACGTCTCCAGCCGAAAACTTCTGCTGAACATGTCCAGGGATATCTTTCAACAGGACGGCACCCCGGCTCATCGAGCTAGAACGACGCAGGGGTGGTGCAGATCAAACTTCCCAGCATTCTGGGAGAAGGACAAATGGCCGGGGAATAGCCCCGACCAAGGCCCTATATACCAGGTAGGGTCGTCCGGCGATTCTACCTGATCGTGACGTCATCTGGGGGCAAGTCTTGAAGTCCCGTTTAAGTCCTATGCAAATGGGCGATTTTTGAAGCGCTCTAGAACAAACTCTGCTAAAGCTAGCACAGAACTAAGTGCATTATTGGAAAGCCGAAACATTTTTCTTCGAATTATCTAAGAAGCGTTTTTCACTAAACCCATTAGTTTTTCCGAAAATGCGTAAAAAAAGCCCTCATGCCTCGGCAGCCTCCCTTCCGCCGGCCGCCACGCCGCCGCGGTAGTGTAGTGGTTAGGATGCTTGCGCCGTAATCCAAAGATCGTGCGTTCGAATCTAGGCGCGGGTCGTACTTAAATCGAAATTGTAAGCAGATTATGTGTTTTTTTTTCTTGATAAATCACTTATATTACAGCTAACCGTTCATAAAACTATCGATAACAATTGACTGAAACCCAAAATGTAGAATACATTCTAATAAAACAAATTCAAATATGGCGGCCGTTGCGCCAGGCTCCGCCCCCGACTCCGCCCCTTCGTGTGACGTCATCTGTGCACCTGGACACACAGGGAGATAGGGGACGACATGGGCCTGGCCCTGACCTGTCGCCGATAAAAAATCTTAGGGCGATCGTCCGGTAAGAGTTGAACAAAGTGGCACCAGGATTGGATAATCTGAAGGCACGCTGACCAGGAACGTTCGATCTGCCTGGTCCAAGATTAGTCCACAGAAGCTGAATATGTTGATGTCTGATGTTCCGGACCGTATGCTTGCCCGTATCAGAGAGAAGGTTGGATACATATGTAAGAAAAGCACACCTCTCATGTTTGTTATTTTCATGCAATTGACGCTGGAAATGTGTGACATTATTTTTGGGACACCCTGTACTGCACGTAACCTTGACGTTATCACTGTGGGTGGGCAATACGTATGGGGAATTGAATTTGTTTACACTTTTCATGTATGTGCACGTCAAAAATAAAACCAATAACAATATTCGCCTTCACAGTTCATCGTGACATCAAGCCGCCCAACCTGATGCTGGTGAAAAGCAAAAAAGGCGAGATCGTGACAAAGCTCGCCGATTTTGGCATATCCAAGGAGATGACAGCCAGCAAGCTGAAAATGACAGCTGGTGTCGGTACCCTGGATTGGATGGCTCCGGAAGCCCATATGGGTGAATATCAACAGGGAACTGTAAGTAAAATTAACGCATCCATCAGAGGCCTGTTTCACTAAAAACTTGCGATTACAAGTGTTTGAACTTTACAATTCATAAGTATTTTTGCAAACTATGTAAAATCGGGTTTCACTAAACTTCATCACCAGCGGCACCTCCGATAAAAAGAGTAGGTAAATAAACTTGTAAACAATAAAAAGTTTTTTAACCCTCGCCCGCACATGGGGGGGGGGGGGTGGTTGCCACCCCCCCAGGCAGTCTTTCTGCTCTGCACTCAACATTTTTAGAGCTAGAAGGCTGATTTTTCGTATAGCTGCTCGTCTATCCTTTCTTAATGTCCACTGAAAATTTCAAGTTTCTGTGATTTTTGGTTTCGGAGATATGACCTTGTTTTTCAGGTCATGTCATGACCCAAATGGCCAATTCTCAACATCTTGCGGTTGCCATGGGCCTTGTGAGCTTTTGACACCCTGATTTCGGCCTTTTTTGCCAGTCTTACCTCCCACCTATCATGGAACATGTTGTTCGACGATGTACAGGGGTCAAGGTCAGGGTCAAGGTCAACCTGGGTCATCTAAGATAATTGCGTTTTAGGCAAGCTGAACTTACTTTTTGTGAAGTTTTTTGACTGCATTTTTGGTAAAAGCTTCTCAGATCATGATTTCATGTGATATGGACCCAAAAACAATCGGTGCACACATCAGTATTCACACAGACACACACAGACATACAAACACATATAATTGACCTTGACCTAACTTGACCTGAAATGACCTCAGCAGCAAAATTCTGGTCGGATAGTGTGACAAAGAGGTTCTAGCTGGCTTGGCACCAGAAAACAGCATCGTCATCGGTATTTGATAAGCAGCGCACTTGATATCCAACGGTGACCCAAAACAGCAACATTTTTTAGTTTGACCTGACCTGGAAGGTCAATGACTGACCTGAGAAGGTAAAACTGGGTATCATTGGATTCGTCTCTTCCCAAAGAATCTTTTTGGTCTTTACTGCTAAGCTCTATCTCCAACAGGAACGAAATGGCGCGGGGGGGGTGGCAACCACCCCCCCCCATGTGCGTTCTAGGATGGGAAAATGGCATGTGCGGGCGAGGGTTAATCAAGAACTTTAACATGTTACAGATATTGCTTCTTTTTATCAAACTATGTCTAGTTTTCATGTCAGAAATTGCAGGAATAAATTAAAAATAATGATGCTGTTTCTGAGTGGTATAAATGATAGTTCACAATATCTTATTATTGAAAGAAAATAACACGTAAAACATTTGACAGCAGAAGACTGTTGAATGCAATTATGGCGCGCGAATGACAAAACATGACGATATTTATTTATTGCTCGTAGCTGGTTCGTAGGGAATGTGCTAAGTGAAAAAGAGCATATAATGACTCAGCATATCATATTTGTTTTAAATAATTGATTGCTTTGCATCATTGCACAAAAAGTATCAAAATTCCGAACGTCAGGACCACTGGAATTTCAGGTTTGTAATTACGATGTTTTCTTTCAAGTTTCTGGTCTTCGTGAAACAGAAAGTTTGCGATTCCCGTGTTTTCTAGCAAACTTTTTCTTGTAAAAAAGTTTGCAAATTTTAAACTCAAAATTCATGCCCGAAGGTTTCGTGAAATCCAAATTTCAAATGTTGGTAATTATTTCTTTTAAACTCAAGTTTTTTCTTTGTAATTACACACTTTATTTGTTAGTGAAACAGGCCTCTGACAGAAAGGAAAATACCGGCCTACGATCTCCTCAGAGATGTGTTTTTAAAAAATTACAGGCTAAATATGACATTTTTATTTATTCCATCAACACACGCATAATAAAGAAGTTAACCAAAGAGAAACGAAAACAGCGTAATCATTTTGATGGGCTTCGTGCTCAATGCTCATGCTGATTATTATGATGCGTTTTCTTAACCCGCGCCCGGCTGGGGGTCCTGGATTTCCACGCCCTGCTGGGGGGGGGTGTTTGAACACCCCCCTTCTAACTCGGCTCCTGGGCCACGTAGCTATACGCGGAAGGCGGAGTTCGAAAAAGCGTCAAAAATAATGAGGAAATTACTTCGGTCAATTTTTTGGTCAGGTCAAAGGTCAGGTCACCAGAGGTCATTGAAGGCAAAATTTCGCCGATTTCCGGGTCGAATGTCGAAAATTTCCAAGAAGCCAACGCATAACTCGGGAACCAATAGAGCTACAGCGCCGCGGAAAAGCGCATTCGATAGCCCTATTAACGCCCTTTCTGAGTAATCCTCTCAGATTTGAGGCCTGTTTCACTAAAAACTTGCGATTACAAGTGTTGGAACTTAACAATTCATAAGTATTTTTGCAAACTATGTAAAATCGGGTTTCACTTAACTTCATCACCAGCGGCATCTCCGATAAAAAGAGTTGGTAAATAAACTTGTAAACAATAAAATTGTTTTTAATCAAGAACTTTAACATGTTACAGATATTGCTTCTTTTTATCAAACTATGTCTAGTTTTCATGTCAGAAATTGCAGGAATAAATTAAAAATAATGATGCTGTTTCTGAGTGGTATAAATGATAGTTCACAATATCTTATTGAAAGAAAATAATACGTAAAACATTTGACAGCAGAAGACTGTTGAATGCAATTATGGCGCGCGAATGACAAAACATGACGATATTTATTTATTGCTCGTAGCTGGTTCGTAGGGAATGTGCTAAGTGAAAAAGAGCATATAATGACTCAGCATATCATATTTGTTTTAAATAATTGATTGCTTTGCATCATTGCACAAAAAGTATCAAAATTCCGAACGTCAGGACCACTGGAATTTCAGGTTTGTAATTACGATGTTTTCTTTCAAGTTTCTGGTCTTCGTGAAACAGAAAGTTTGCGATTCCCGTGTTTTCTAGCAAACTTTTTCTTGTAAAAAAGTTTGCAAATTTTAAACTCAAAATTCATGCCCGAAGGTTTCGTGAAATCCAAATTTCAAATGTTGGTAATTATTTCTTTTAAACTCAAGTTTTTTCTTTGTAATTACACACTTTATTTGTTAGTGAAACAGGCCTTTGACCTAACGTCAACGGTTTTGCCTGCAGGGGGCAAAAACTGCAAAAATAGCCGATTTTTTCGGAAACAGTTTTTCTGCAATAACTTTTGACCCAAGCCTTGTACGAGCTTACTTTTACCGGCATCGTGTTCCTCTCGTCAAGACGCATCGAATGAACTATAAGTTGACCTTGAAAGGTCAACTTGAAAATTTGACCTCAGGTCAAGGTCATGACCTGACCGGAAAGGGTCATGTTGCATATCAGTCGATCCGTATCGTCGAGCTGAACACATCTAAGGCGTTTTCATCGCTCTAGCATGCCTCTATCAAAAGTTATTTGCGAAAAACTGTTAGATACCATTCGTGACCTAAGATGACCTCAGGGCATAAACAGGGGTCACGGACACCATTTTCATGTTCAGTGTGTCTAAACTACTTGTAATTCGGTGTTTGGGAGTGTTTATAATGTCTTTTGTCCAAAAGAGGCGCATTTCAATTTTCTCCCATTGACTTACAATGGGGAGGTCGCAAAATTGACCTGACCTTAGGTCATCGATATCAAAATTCTGAGATATACATTTTGTACATGCTATTGCTCTTAGCAATCGCTGAAAGTTTCAAAGCGATCGGTCACTCGGTGTAGCTATGACAGACATTGAAACTTTTTATGAGGTGAGGTCACTTCAAGTGACCTGGTGACCTGACCTTGAATGACCTTGGTCTGAAATTTTTACAACATGTGTAGAATTGATGTATGATAAGGTGTACCAAAAACGGCGGCGCTCCGCGCCGCCGTTTTTGAGATATTCGCGAAAAACCACAAGGGGGGGTGTTCAAACACCCCCCAGCAGGGCGCGGGTTAACCCGCGCCCCACTGGGGGTGGGGGCTATTTATAGCCCCCCTCCCGTTTTTCTGCAATAACTTCCAAATCGCTTGACGTATCGACGCCAAACTCTCAGTTGCTTCGGCTGCATCAATTTGACACCTTGTGTCAAAATTTGAACTTCGTAGCTACCATAGGTCAGCCGGAAATGACGTCAGAGTGACGTCATGTTCGGCCGATTTCGACGCAAAACATCGAACCACGGCAATCACTCCCAAGCGCTCAGTTTTTAAGCTAGATCCAATTTCTTTGCATGAGAGGACTCAGAATAGACTGCGCTATCAAACTGTTATCTCGGATTTTCAAAATTTTGAAAATTTCGAAAATTTTATATAATAAAATTCAAAATTTACATTTTTACATTTTTTTTTCAATTTTTTTTTTACTTTTCGAAAAAAAACCGGAATATATGTGATAGAACGCGTTATTATGACTAAATCCAGCATGTGTTAGCTAAATTTCTTCAAAAATGGCCAAGTTATACGCATTATTGCAAAAAAATTAACAAATATTAATTTTTCAAATCAATTTTTCACCACGTTTTTGACATCGTACGCCAATATAAATAGCACCATCGTGTTCCTGAGCTCAAACTGCATCCAATAAACACCTTTTCTGTTGAAAAATTATAACTTCAAAATTTGACCTTTTTTGACCTGAAAGTGACCTGACCTAAGCTAAATTTGACTCAAAATGACCTTGAATGACACAGACGACATCAAATTCAAAATATTTGGCCTAAATGGACCATAAAACATGTGTCACGTGACCGACGCATGACATAATATTTTCGTGACCTGTGATGACCTGACCTTGACCTGAAAATCAAAGTACAAGTTTGGTACCCTCAGGGTATCTAGAGCATATGTTCACGAGTGTGTGAACCAAAAATGCGCCTGCTCTGACTTTTAAGACGGCGGCCAGAGCCCAAAACGTGAACAAGCCAAAATGCTAATAATTTTTACTTTGACCTGACCTCTGACGTCATCGGTGACCTCAAGGTCAATGAAATTAGGTTTCGTTCGACAGTTTATCCGGGGCTATCAGACGCCGTTTGAATTTTGACGATCGGCCCAGTAGTTTCGGAGTTAGGAGGGGGGGGGGCTATGAATACCCTCCCCCCCCAGTAGGGCGTGTTATACGCAGACCCCAGTGGGGCGCGGGTTAATGATGAGATATCAAATGTCGTGTTCCATCAATCTCATCAACGTGCTTCTTTTAATTTTTTCCGAAGCATGCATATTTCTGTTCTCAACAACTGTCCTAGAATATCTCGTTTATAATTGGTCATCATGATATTTTCCCTTGTTACATTTGTTGTTTTGCATATTTTCTTTTAGGAGAAGACAGCTGACATCTTTTCGCTCGGATGTGTCTTTCACTACATCATCTTCCCCGGACAGCATCCTTTCGGCGATATGTCCGACAGGATGGCAAACATCCAACAGGGAAAACCGTGGTGAGTATACGATTTCCTCATAAAAGGGATTTTGGTTACATAACCTCGAATTGTTGTTGCGATTTACCAGGCCTGAAAATAAGAAAAAAAAACTAGAGTGACGCAATAGGCCATTATTCTTCGCCCGAGTGGGGGGGGGGGGGCTTTTTTGGCCACACCTGCCAATTTTTTGCGCGTGTAAAGAAAACCGCGGCGTGCAGCGCCGCGAAACTTGTTATAGCTTATTATACATCAAGTTCGCATCTTGTGTTTAAATTTTGACCCCAGGTCACGTAAGGTCAGGTCACCAAGTCAAGTTAAGAAACCATGCCTCTAAAAAAAAACTTTGTGATTCTGTCATTCGTACAGTTTACATCCCAGAAGTTTGAAACTCGGGATTTCGCATGACGAGACCAGTGTAAACAATTCGTGTATCTCAGAGTTTTCATATCGGTGACCTAAGGTCAGGTCAATTTTGCGACCTATCCATAATAAGTCAATGGGAGAAAATTGAAATGCTCTTTGTTTGGCCGAAAACACCCTCAAACATCGTGACATAGGTAAACATGACATACTGATCCGAAAAATTACGCTGGTGACCCCTTTTATGCCCCTGAGTCATCTCGGGTCATGAAACGTCTCAAACAGTTTTTTGACAATAGCTTTAGATATAGACATGCTAGAGCGCTGAAAACACCATGAATGTGTTCAGTGAACAGCAATACGAATCGAATGAAATGCAACATGACCTTTTCCGTGACCTTGACCTGGGTCAAATTTTCAAGTTGACCTTTTCAAATTTCAGGTCATCTTATAGCTCATTCGACGTGTCTCGACGAGACAAACGAGAGGCTGGTAAAATTAGCGTCATACAAGCTTTGAGTGAGAAGTTATGATGCAAAAACTTTTTCCGCAAAAACGTTCAATTTTTGTAGTTTTGCCCTCTGGAGGCTAAACTGTTGACCTTAGGTCAAATCTTAGAAAAATACTCAGAAAGGCCTTTGAAAGGAGCTATCGAATGCGCTTGTCCGCAGCGCTGTAGCTCTATTGGTTCCCAACTTATGCGCCGATTTGTAAAAACGATGTCAAAATTGGTACAAAAAAAATCGTGAAATTTGTATCTTTGGTGACCTCCAGTGACCTCGGCGATGACCTGATCAAAAATGACCAAATCCGGCACCGCCTCGGCTATTTCCGTACCCACGACAGCCTGGGGGGGGTCGGATCCGACCCCCCCCTGTTATATCGAGAACCAATGGTTGCATCGAGCCCCGCGAGGCGGCGTTCGAAAGGTCTCTACGAGACCTTCCCAAAGCACTCTTAAGATTTTAAGATTGAGGTCAACATTCGGGTCAAGGTCAGGTCAAAGGTCAAATTCTGGGGTTTTGCATGATAAGGCTTACGGACAGTGGAATCGATAGCTGCTGCTCGAAACTCACCACAAATGACCTCAAAGACCTAATGAAGGTACCATGTGCGTATAGGGGTCATACTAAGTACGGGTCAAGGTCAGGTCAGGTCACGAAAGGTCACGGTTTTCACTTTCTGCTACATGGGCGTGCGACACATGTTTTATGGCTTATTTTTCACGCCGAATCCGATGTAATGGTTATATGTGACCCTAAGTCACTGTGCTGGTGATAAGTGTACATTGAAAGCATAACAAAAAACGTTTATACCATACATAACTAAACGAGGGCTAAGAAAAAAAAAATCAATTTTTAAACTTTTTATTTTTGACATAAAAATGCCCTTTTATAGACGAGCTTTGTCCCAGGAATCTAAGTGGTGTCATTTGTTTTCACATGCGATGTTCAGAAGTGCCTCTAATTCACAAAAATGTTTATGACGTCACCATACCCTATGCATGTTGGAGCTATTTTTACAATTTGGGAGTCAAAAATCAAGATCGAAAGGTGAAATTTGGGACATCTATTGTTCAAATAGAGCTCTATAACATGTATTCCCGTTTTTTGGAAATTCCCAAAATTTTGGATTTTATCAGCTGTTTTCCAAAAAATATAGTTTTTTGAATTTTTAGGGGTGAAAAAACGCATTTTATGGAAAATCTGAGATAACCATTTTTAAGATCTCGTTGAGCTGCGTATATTTATGTCCTTAATTTGCAATTTGCTTAACCCTCGCCCGCACATGGGGGGGTGGTTGCCACCCCCCCCCCCAGGCAGTCTTTCTGCTCTGCACTCAACATTTTTAGAGCTAGAAGGCTGATTTTTCGTATAGCTGCTCGTCTATCCTTTCTTGATGTCCACTGAAAATTTCAAGTTTCTGTGATTTTTGGTTTCGGAGATATGACCTTGTTTTTCAGGTCATGTCATGACCCAAATGGCCAATTCTCAACATCTTGCGTTTGCCATGGGTCTTGTGAGCTTTTGACACCCTGATTTCGGCCTTTTTGCCAGTCTTACCTCCCACCTATCATGGAACATGTTGTTCGACGATGTACAGGGGTCAAGGTCAGGGTCAAGGTCAACCTGGGTCATCTAAGATAATTGCGTTTTAGGCAAGCTGAACTTACTTTTTGTGAAGTTTTTTGACTGCATTTTTGGTAAAAGCTTCTCAGATCATGATTTCATGTGATATGGACCCAAAAACAATCGGTGCATACATCAGTATACACACAGACACACACAGACATACAAACACATATAATTGACCTTGACCTAACTTGACCTGAAATGACCTCAGCAGCAAAATTCTGGTCGGATAGTGTGACAAAGACGTTCTAGCTGGCTTGGCACCAGAAAATAGCATCGTCATCGGTATTTGATAAGCAGCGCACTTGATATCCAACGGTGACCCAGAACAACAACATTTTTTAGTTTGACCTGACCTGGAAGGTCAATGACTGACCTGATAAGGTAAAATTGGGTATCATTGGATTCGTCTCTTCCCAAATAATCTTTTTGGTCTTTTCTGCTAAGCTCTATCTCCAACAGGAACGAAATGGCGCGGGGGGGGTGGCAACCACCCCCTCCTCCCATGTGCGTTCTAGGATGAGAAAATGGCATGTGCGGGCGAGGTTAACCCGGCAGTTGCTGGGATATTTCGCCACCCACCGTTTGCTGGGGGGGGGGCGTTAAACGCCCCCCAGGGCTGGTAAAAAAGCAAATTGCGTCCCCGACCAAAAAATGAGAGCGAAAAATGACCCCGACCTTTTACGATTCATGTATGCAGGCTGCATGCAACTACGATGCGCGTTTCCTTAGGTTTCATTTCTATATTTTTTACGAGCAGTCATATGTACTAAATTGCTTGTCAGACTCGCGCTTCGAAATTTCCAGTTTGTTAATTAAATGTCACGGCATCACTCGGTCAGCGGGTAGCGTAACAGACGAAGAACCCGGAAAGGGTAGGGGGCGCAACGATCGTCGAACAGATGCAGTAGGTGTCGCTATTGTATCGGTAGCTCACAACGACGACGGCTAGAAACTATCGACCCCGCATGAATTTACCATGTCCAACCGGTGCGACCCCGGTTCCGAATCTAGTCGTTTGTCTAGTCGTATAGCTGGCTACAACTGGTCGTCAATCAACCCCGCTTGAAATAGCACAGCCGACAGCGGGGTCGGTGTCTAAGCGTTTGTTAGAATGTGTTTGATCATCTGGTTTGATCTAGTTTTCGTTAGCAACTGTCGACGGTAGTTTTGCTGTTAACGGAAGTGAGTTGTGGCTACTAATTGTTCATAACCATGTTGTAGGTATGTGTTAGGTATAGGGGCTTTTTATGTTCTTGTTAAAGGGGATATACGTTGTGGATTCCACGATATTTTTTACTTACGTTTAGTTTCTGCTTTATTTGAAAGCTATTTATTACTGTAAAAGTTTACTAAATGTGGCAATTTTGACCCCGGGTACTTGAACTTTTACTGGTACTGTGTCCCCGACGACGTCAATAGGACATAACACTTTACCAGTCCTGACGCCCCCAGCCGATAACTCGAGAACCAATAGGCGCAGCGAAACGCACGAGGCGGCAAACGAAAGAGCGCGACGAGACGCTTCAGATGAGTACTTTAAAATTGAATTTTGAGGTCACAGGTCGGGTCAAGGTCAGGTCAAACACCTGAAATCGGGCTTTCAGTAGCATGGACTTCAGGACTTCGCAATGGGCGCCTCTCGCCATAAACTCTGTCAAAACGGTGCATAATCCATCTTATAAGGCCTACAAGAGTGTCAGCTCCATATAGGGGTCAGTCAAGCATAGGTCAGGGTCAAGGTCAGGTCAACCGGGTAGGCACATATCCCCGAAAATCAAAACTGATATTCGCAGCCTGTGACACATGTTTTATAGGTAATTTGTGGCGTAGAACACGATGGTGACATTCATTTTATCATATGTGTACGTGTTTGGCTCAAAAAGCTCAATTTAAGAAATTCATGTATCATGATCACGAAAAATTGCCAAGATTCAGTTCAAGATTTTGGAAAATGCGGAACGATAATCAATAATTGAAGATAGCCATTTGATTGATCATGGTATTGGCAGTCCAATGGCGTTTACGGCATGTCTGTATGTCTATTCTGTGATTTTATATGATTTTTTTAACATATGCCGTTTTTGGTCGAAAACTCAGAAATCATGACGTCACTAAAACCTCGATATCTCAAAAATTTTCCGACCGATTTTTTTGAAACTTGGTCACAATAAACTTCAATCAATTCGCTACAGGTACCCAAAATTTGGCGCGCCTGCGGCGCGCCGTTTTAATGCTATGGCCCGGCGAAAAAGTGGGGGCGTAACCCTGATTTTTGTCGATTTTTAAACATTTAACACTTTTTGACTTAACCCTCGCATGTGTGCGGCGTTTGCCAGCTTCTAATGTGTAGGGGGGGGGTCGGTTGGACCCCCCCTTGCCGTTTGGCCCCTGATCGAGCTAGAGCTTCGCGGAAAAAACGAGCGTGTTGCCCGTGACGAGAGGAAGCCGATGATACCCAATTTTAAGGTCCTAGGTCATTGGTTGACCTTCCAGGTCAGGTCAATGACCCAAAGTCGGGAAAAT